AGGTTATGGCCATACCTTGCCATATGTGTGAACGTACTGTAGGAAACTTCCGAGAACAACTCCAACAGTGTGATGCAGCTAACAAACCCCATCTTCCTGATATTGTTTTCAAAACATAAGTATTTTAAATGGGATGTTATGCTAATCATGAGGAAAATAAACTTTCTTCTCTATGTACCTCCATTACTCTTTTATTTCACCTCAAAACTGTTCAATCAGTTCTGTCCCACCCTTTATAAGCTAGCTAACACATTTAAATTGTATATTGTAATCAATATACAACAAATGGTCAAATATTTAGACTACTACTTAAATTCATACTCATAAGTGATCTTGAATTTCTGCACTGCGTTCAATTAAGCAATTTGTAAAATCATAAATTTAAAATGGGTTCTAACTTTTTCAATTTAATTCTGAATGAGTTGCATCTGTTGAATTCTAATAGGGATCATTAATTTTTGCATCGTATTTTTGAAAATCAAGTATATATTGCATTTCTTTTAAATTAAAAACATTCTTTTACATAAAAAACAATGATTTTTTTCTTACAGCTTCTTTGATAATTGATGATCTCACTCATATAACTTAATATTTTAAATTTAATGATTTTGTCATTTCGGTGACTAAACTTTCTTTGGTTCATTAAAATAAAATAATTACATACTGCTTATAAACAACCAACGTTTTCTAAAAGATACAAGACGTTCGAAAACTTGCCATGGGAGACAAAATCATTCAGGATTTGAAGTGAAGTTATTAAGACAAATTCAACATTATAGGGTGAAAACATGAATAAATTCGTATTTAGAAGCATATCAATTGGTGTTTAAATTTTGAAACAATTTTCCATCATTTAAATGTCACTGTGAAATGTGGATCAAATCTATTTATTATGAAATTGAACTTTACAAGACCAAAACAAGGTGTCTGGCACTGTCTTGTCTAATGTCAACAGTCAACACAATGTTGCCATATGCCGTGAAAGATTTGCAGTTTATCTCATCATTCCGTGTGGATTCGAGAACTTTGTTGGTATTGGTGACATCGTGAGAATTTTCTGCAAAAGTTTACATAATTTTTATTTTTATTTTGGAACATATTCATTACAAAATTTGTCGATACGGATACATGACTAGTGTATGTATTGGAGGGAAGAGTCGCCGACTTTTCATCGGTTTTCGAACCACACGCAAGCGAGTTAAAGGAAGTGCAGCTGTCTGGGTGTCCGCAGTTTCTGACAAGCTCAGTGTAAGAGTATCAATTGTCACTTCGGTGGAAAGTGTAAGGTGGTAAATTTTTTGATGCATTTTCTTTTGTTAACATGATAATATATTACCTATACAGAATTCCATACTGCAGCTTGGAACGAGCTGTGTGTGCCCAATTCAAGTTGTGTTGGAATTAGTTTTTATGTGTCTAAATCCGTTTCTTTACTTAATCATCTATTAATTTATTTACCACTTGAAATCAGCAAATATAAGTATACTTAAAGGATTTATAATATATTCACAGACGTATTTAAAAGTCTCAAACCGTAATATTCTTTCTACACAAACAGTTTATCACTATTTGGTAGAGCAAGGCCAACTATCAACTTTGACACATTTTTTGATGATCTCACTGGGTGGCATGCACTGTCTCTCTTTGGATCTCAAAATTTTCCCGCCAGATGGCCCAAACCTAGTGTTTTGGCAATAGTTTGGCGCGCAAAGGCATGACGGCACTATTTCAACCATCAACGAATGCGTGGAACTAAGACAAAGCTTAATATAAAGGAAAAACTAGAGAGGTGTCGGAATTACCCACGATGTAGGAATATACCACGTTTACCCTAGGCCCAACAGGGACAACACATACTCCCTCTTTCAGTTTAGCATCAAATAGATAAGGAAACTCAAGAGTCAAAACTAATTTTAAACTTGAGCACTTATAAGTAAGGTCCCATAAGGATCTACTAAACTTTGTCTGTGAACATTTTCATCTCTGAAAATTAGAGCCTTTCTGATTGGCCATGTCTGCCTTACAAAATGTTGTTTCCTGGGGCTGGCTTGGCTATTCCATTCTCAGAGTCAGAGAAAACCAGAAAACTTTATGTAACCTCTTTTTACAACACTTCTCTTTAACTTCACTTCTTGTCTGTCTGTCTGTCTGTCTGTCTGTCTGCTACAAATCTTGTAATCAAAATTTAATACACTTCTACTTATCCTATCGATCTGAAATTTTGCACACTTGTGTGAAGTCAGAGGTAAAAATTTATATATTAAAAAAATTATATATATTAAAAATGTCCAAATAAATTTTTTTAATTTTCGAAAATTAGATGAGAAATTCATTGTACATCTGTAAGATTGAAGATACTGGATTCTTTGGAAGTGTTGTCTTTAAAAAGTAATTTTTAAACGTATATTATTTGACTTACTAACATGATTGATAATAACTCTTGATATCCTTGAAATTAGTCCATTGCTGGCCAGAGCAGGTGAGTAGCTAAGCTTATAACTGCTCTATTGACAACAAAATCAAGATTTTACTATTGAGAATAAAATGAGTAGAAACATGTAAGTAATGTACATAAATGTATTGTTTAGTAACATGTTCATAAATGAATCCATAATTCAGACTGAATTGACCTATCATGGAGGAGGCTATAAACATAAGAAAATTGTATGCATTCTAAACATGAAAATAAGAAATTCTCACTTGAAATTTATGAATTATCTAAGAGACTAAGTAAGGTGATGAAATTATTTTGCTATTTATACTGTAATCAGTACCTACAGGCTACATAAAATTCTGTTGAATCCACTAGTTGAATATGTGACAGTTTTCCCATTAGCTTTGGAAGTTAGGAGTCATGGTTACCATCAGCATCAAACAGGGTAATAAGAGACATGTGGAGTAATAAGGGACAGTCCTCTGTCCTTTTGTAGAAATGTTGTAGCAGCTAAACTAATCAAAATAGTGCAAACTAAAACTAGTGGCATAAAGTCCAACATTTTTCCTATCTATGTAGCTTAAAAAAGGTTGAGAAATCATACATTTACTCCGTTTGAAAATCTATGAAAAAAGTGTGAAAAAAGAGATTTGGGAAAACTTCCTCTGTAAGGTCTATAGCAAAAAAACTATTTGCTGTAAGCCTGTATTAAAAAATCTTACTTGCATAAAATTTGCACACCAAAACAGGTGTTGGCTCAAAAACGTGATTGACAGAATTGCGTAACTCAGTCCAAAAAAAAATTGCGGCTATTCCCACAAGACCGGGCAATAAGGGTCTTACGGGACACCCCTAAAAATGCATTTTCAGTAGAACCTTGTTTAACAAAGGCTCCAGTTAACTAAAAATCAATTAAAAACAAAGGATTTTGATTACATTTACCTTGCTTACCAAAAAAATTTAACTTGTCAAAAGATTAATGCATCATGGACCATCACAAAATTGCGTATAGAATGTCATAGATTGAATTGTGTACCGGGCAACATAGAATGAAAAGTAATTGACCTAAATTATGATTTATTTCTCCATAAAATGTTATGCTTGTCACTAAAATATTCCTTTCTGTTTGAGGTATGTTTTTTATGATCTATTGTTTCACTTGACCCAATTAAAATGGTGCAAAATTGCAAGCCATTCTGTAAGCATACAGATACAGAAGAAATGCTTTACGGCTGTTGATATGAAGCTTGCAGTGGAAAAGGTCATTGTCATTCTCAATGGCTTGTCCATGGATACAAAAGTATCACATCAATAATACGGTAATGTATGGATATATATGGTTTTATTATCGATAAAGGAAAAACAAGTAAAAATTGGAGAAAATGTCATTCTACATTTACATCATCTACACTTGAAAAAAAGGACTTCAGCATACTGTTCAAAATTGATGAGTACACTCTACATGCTTCAAACATTTTAAAATTAAGTTTTATTTCAATTGTCCCTTTTTGCCCCATTTCCAGGGGTAATTTGGGAGGCTTTTATTTTACATCTGGTACCTTATGAATGGTATATGGAATTTTTTGCCGCTGCCATATAATAGCCCTTGCAAAGATCTTTAAAATGAGCCCCAACTCATTTATGAAATGTTTCATGGTAAGAAGTTATTGACAAAAAACGCTTAAAAGCATTCCTTCTTATACTGTTTGATAGGATATATTATTATGAGTGAATCCTATAAACCAATACCGTATGTCAATCTGAAATATTGTCAAAATGAAATAATGAATGCAGGTAAAATGATATTTTTATGGGCAATTTTCTATTTTTATAAAAAAATTAGGCAAGGGGAATAAAACAGGTGAAATTTACCTCAAGTACATGCATTGTCTAATTTACATGTGGCATCTGCCAGATTTTCCCAAATGGCTGTTATGCAAAGTTTGGCTATTGTGTTGCCAAGATCATGTTTTTAGGCCCAAAAAGCCACCAGTATCATCAGGATTTGTTGCAAAACCATCTAAACTTATAAAAAAGTTTACCAAAAATTCACCTTATAGGTATATATACTAAAAGAGAAATGGTAATATCTTCTGAAAACCTAAGATTGATGTTGATGTGTTGCCAAGATCTTCATCATGCTCTCTGCACCTTCCACTAAAAATCATAGTTCTGACCGGGCATGGAAATTTTACACTGTCAATGACACACAAGCAACCCCTCTGCAGCTACTGCACTAAACTTGCTGCTTGTCAGAACAAGATGCACAATACTAGTCTAAATTATGTAGGTACAATTTGTAAGGTTTGATTGCCATATAATAATTAAAATGCTTAGAAGAAAGTTGTGACTCTGGTAGGAGTTGTTCCTAAGATTTGTTAACAAATAAATCTTTTCTTTTGAAGGCTGGCTTCAAAATGAATGCTTTGGCCAAGCTAGTAGCATTTATGGTATTTTCCAGGCCTTTTCAGAGCTTTCCTGGCAGTTTTGACTTCCATGAAACCCCCTCCTCTATTATCACCTTCCTATTTTCTGCTATCAGTAATTCTGACACTCTCTTCTGCCTTTCTTCCCACCTCTTCTGCCTCTCTACTCCTCTTCTGCCTCTCTTCTCCTCTTCTGCCTCTCATCTCTCCTCTTCTGCCTCTCATCTCTCCTCATCTGCCTCTCTTCCCTTCTCATCTGCCTTTCTTCCCTTTTCTTCTGCCTCTCTTCCCTCCTCTTTTGCCTCCCTTCCCTCTTTTGCCTCTCTTCCCTTCTCATCTGCCTCTCTTCCCTTCTCATCTGCCTCTCTTCCCTTCTCATCTGCCTCTCTTCCCTCCTCATCTGCCTTTCTTCCCTCCTCATCTGCCTTTCTTCCCTCCTCATCTGCCTTTCTTCCCTCCTCTTTTGCCTCTCTTCTCTCCTCTTTTGCCTCTCTTCCCTCCTCTTTTGCCTCTCTTCCCTCCTCTTTTGCCTCTCTTCCCTCCTCATCTGCCTTTCTTCCCTCCTCTTTTACCTCTCTTCTCTCCTCTTTTGCCTCTCTTCCCTCTTTTGCCTCTCTTCCCTCCTCATCTGCCTTTCTTCACTCCTCTTTTACCTCTCTTCTCTCCTCTTTTGCCTCTCTTCCCTCTTTTGCCTCTCTTCCCTCCTCATCTGCCTTTCTTCCCTCCTCTTTTGCCTATTTTCCCACCTCTTTTGCCTCTCTTCCTTCCTCATCTGCCTCTCTTCCTTCCTCATCTGCCTCTCTTTCCTCCTCTTCTGCCTTTCCCTTCCCTTCCCTTTTTGGTGATATTGCTGTTCCTCTCACCAAACAAAATAAGTGGATCTGCACTTGGGAGTATCACCTTTACCATATTTTTCAGAAGTTTAACACAGTAGCTTATACCTACCAAGATATCAATTTTGCCATAAACTTATTCAGCCTCTTAATTTCAGGTCAGTGTTATTATGTTGCTTTGATAGTAGTTATAATTCCAGAACAATATTGACCAGAGAAAGTGAAATATTTATTAGATAACATGACTGCCATTGAAACACTTGTTAGCATGGGCTTCTCGGAAAAATCTGCGTGAGTATTTAATTTTAAAAGTATGAGCTCGAGTTAAATTATTGCCAATTTAGGTGAATATTTTGTGTACATAGAAAAATTTCAAATTTAATTTGGTTTTTGCCAAAGGTTTGAGAAATTTTATTTCATATTATTTGGTATACAGAAATATCTTACAACCAGGGTTGGCAGTGATTAAATCAAAATGATTAAATCATGTGATTAAATCACTTGATTTTTTTATAAAAAAATCATGATTTTTTTGATTTTTTCGATTTTTTTGATTTTTTCATATATTTAAATATATTGAGTGGCAGTCTTTAATTTATATTAAGGTATTGTTATTCATGGTTTAGTATAAATGTACTATAAATGACAAATTGGTATATAAACTTGTTGCCTTTAGTGTGTATTGGGTTCCAATAAATTGAATGTTTTTGGTGCATCAAGTGTGCAATACATTGTATGTAGCTAGCAGCTTAGCTAATTCTTACTTTCTAGTGGATCTATTCTAGTGGATCTAGTGGATCTATTGATAGCGCTGTGCACTGTGCTATCAGCTACCTATCTGTTATGTGACTCTTCAATGTTTAGAAGATCTGCATTCCTGAAGTGTTTTTGTATATTGAAGCCAGTTAAATGGTCAATATTTAGCTTATTACCTTGCTCCATACAAACTTTACAAAGCTGATGAATAGACATAGTACCAATAATTGTTTACCCAAAAATCCCTAAGTGATAAACACCACCTTGGCCTTTTGGCCATTATTGAAGGCAATAAGTGCCCTTTTTAGCCATCCATTATGATCCATATACTGCTATTGTTAGTGGGCTAATTGCAACATAAAAAAGAACACTTCAAAAAGACAAAAAAGTTGAAAAAATCAAAAAAATCAAATAAATCAAAAAAATCATGAAAAAATCAAAAAAATCATTGATTTTTGATTTTTTTGATTTTTTTTAAAAAATCAAAAAAATCGCCAACCCTGCTTACAACATAACAGCAACTGTGTTCACAATATGCAAGCCTGCTCTCATTAGTTGCAATGCTGCCAGGTTCAACTAAAAAATGCAATATGTGAAAAAGGTCTGCTGTATCAGCAACTTGAAGCTTTTGTGTTTTTGAACCCAAGATTTATTTAATAATCTATATTTATAGTTCATTTTTACAGAGCCCATGCCATAAAAGTTACTGGCAACAAAGGAGTTGAGGAGGCCATGGAATGGCTACTGGCCCATGCTGATGATCCTGCGCTGCAGGAGTCGGTGGCTGGTACAGATGACAACACGAATCCTGCTACGCCCAGTGCTGCTGCTAGTGGAGATGAAGCTGAAGGTTCCACTCCAATGGAGACAGGTATTCATTAGTGCATTGCTTATTTTAATTTAACTAAAATTTAATCTCAATTTGAATATTTTGACATTTAATTCAAAGATAATGTTGTTTGATAAGCAGAGGTGGGCAGTAGCGCGCTACATGTAGCGGCCGCTACATTTTCAGTAGCGGTAGCGGTAGCGGCTCTACATTTAAGGCAATGTAGCGGTAGCAGTAGCGCTCGCTACATATTTAAGTAGCGATACGAGGTTTTGCCGCTACAGCGCTACCGCTACATTTATAGATAAAGCCTTTAGATTTTACTTAAGGGGACCGGCCACCCTCCAACAAAACTTTTTTGTTTACAGACGGATCGTTTTGAAACTTGGTACACATATGTAAAACAGAAATCTAAGACCTTTTTGTTCATGTAAATTTAAAAAAATGAAAGAAAACGTGGAATTAATAGAAAACGGCAATTAAGGGGTACTCTAAAAAAGTTTATAACTTTTGCAAATCACATGCTACAATGTCGAGACACATATCATTCGATTTGTAACAACAATATCT